GTTTTGCTCCACAGGTGAGCCTAGCCAGCCTTGATGTAGAGGCTGCACTGACCTAGGGCTTGAACCGTGGCCAAAGGATTCAGTGGGCCATATTTCCCAGACACTAGTGGGAGTGGGGTGGCTCTTGCAATATCTTCAGAAAGGAATTTCCTAAGACACACATGAGAGAATGAATAGTTTTTATTGGCTTGGATTTATATTCCTGGGGTTGTGAAGTCTCATGTCCCTTAATCCAGTCCTAGAAGACATGCTGCTGGGGCTCCAGCAGAGCTAGAAATAGGGCCAGTGTCCACAGTTTCCTCTCCATTTTATTTTTATCCTCACCTGAGGACATTTTTCCATTTTTTGTTCAGATAGAGTGGGAGGAAGAGAGAGAGAGAGAGAAACATCGATGTGAAAGGGACACATCGAGTGGCTGCCACCCGCACGACCAACCAGGGCTGGGGACAAACTGTAATCGAGGTACATGCCCTTAGCAGGAACCGAACCTAGGTCTCTTTGGACCACAGGCCGACACTCCAACCACTCAGCCAAACTGGCCAGGGTGTTTCCTCTCCATTTTGCAGCTGGGTCCAGTTCAGCATCAGGCTAGATTTAGTCCACTAGTCCATTGTATTGGGTCCACATGGCTGTGGGCCACGTGGCCAATGCTGGGTGTGGGAGCCCTATAAGCCAGGAGTCCAGAGTGGGCAGCATGAGGGAGAAGAAGTTTTCCTTTGTCTAGGAGTTTAAATATTCAGGTTTTGCATACTTGCAGTGGCCACACCTATTCTGGCCAATTACCTGTTCCCAGGACTGATTGACAGGTAAGCACTTTCCATGTCACTCAGACCTTACTGGGCAGGCATCTAAAATGCCTTTGTCACCCGGCTGGTGTGGCTCAGTGGTTGAACATTGACCCATGCACCAAGAAATCATTGGTTTGATTCCCAGTCAGGGCACATGCCCAGGTTGTGGGCCAAATCCCCAGTGTGGGGTATGCAGGAGGCGGCCAATCAATGTTCTCTCTCATTGATGTCTCTATCTCTCTCTCCCTCTTCCTTTGTCTCTCTCTAAAAATAAATAAATAAATAAAATAAAAAAACTGCCTTTGTCCAGTCCCTTCTGCCATCAATCAGCAGGAAAAAGACCTGGAGAGTGTTCACTGAAGCTTCCTGACAAAGCTGTATAAATGGCATGCCTATATATCATCTAGTCTCCCCTTTTGCTCCTTTCCTGTTAAATAATAACCAGATTGTTACAATGGAATCATTCCCCCTTGAGAAAAATGAAATCTCCTTAAAATCATGTAAAAGAAAAAATGGACAAAGGTCTTCATCTTCTGTAACTGCTTCCTCCTGTCAAGGGTTGTAGACCTGCCTATTCCAAGGCCAAGAGGTTTTCCCTGTCTGACAGAGAAAGGGGAAAGCAAAAAGGGAAAGGAGTCTTTATGTAAGGAAGAGACATTCTCCAAAGTCCAGGTCAGTCTGTTGTCCCTGGAAGGTGATGTTGGCGATGTCCAGGAAGAGAATGCATTGGACAAGCTGTAATCCATGTTGTATTCTGGAAATGTCAAACTTGACAAGAAGGGTAAAAGGCAAAACTCAAAATGAGGACATTTATAACAACTAAAGACTTTGTGAGAGGTACAAACCTATGTGACAAAGGGAAAAGATGAACTTACAGTGCCCTCAGTTAGGTTGGTGGAGTGGCTTTTCTGGAGGCAGGTGTTGTACCTGTTAGAAGTCATTTGTCCACCATACTTAACCTAATTTAAGCTAAGGGATAAACTGTGGGCCTTTTCTGTCTGACCTGTTTAGGCAGAAAAGGAGAAGCAGTTTCCAGTGAAGCTAACAGACTGTCCATGTTTCACTGACTCAATCCTAAATCTAAACCGTTGAGATTCATTTCAAGAGATGATGATGTAGATAGCATCTAAAGTGAGGCCTATATTGTGTACACAAACAATTAGGCACATAAGGACATAAGCATACATTTTATGAAAACAGAAACAAACCAAATACAAAGGTTAATGTATACAATAAATCATAAACCAGTTATGAAGGCTTCTGATTCAAGGTTTTTGCTGGAATGAAAGCAAGCAAAAACAATCTGATAGATTGTCTGCAGTTAGAACATCTTTGGTGATGTCATCAGGTGCTGAGGTCTGTATGGCATATACAGTCATAGCCTTAAAAACAAAACTTTGGCTCTGGCAAGTTTGGCTCAGCGGTTAGAGTGCAGACCAGAGAGACCTGGGTTCAGTTCCCACTAAGGGCACGTGCCTTGGTTACGGTTTGTCCCCGGTCTTGGTTGGTTGGTAACCACTTAATGTGTCTCTCTCACATCGATGTTTCTCTCTCTCTCTCCCTCCCTCTCTTCCTCCTGCTCTATCTGAAGATAAATGCAAAAATGCCCCTGGGCAAGGGTTAAAAAAAAACTTTGAATACAGTTAATTGCATTGGAATTTAATCCCAAAATCGGGCATTGTGGTTTTCATTGAAGCACATTTTTTTTTCTTTCCTTAAGAGTACCCTCCTGTTAAAGAGGCTATATTAACTTTAGTTTGGCTTGACTATTTGCATAAATACAAGAGCAGTGATTGATAAAATTGATCACATAGGCTTTCTCAAATTTGCTTTGCTGGAATGTCATTTATTCATAAAGAATCCTTAGATTACGCTCTAGTGAGCAGTCAGCCCCTCAGGGTGGAGAAACCAAAGCCACAATTGCCATCAGGCTGTGCCTGGAACACCTGTAGATTTGGGTCATGTCCTTAAGTCCTTGAGGTTCCCAAAGCATCTTGTGGTTCCTTTCTTGCCATTTTTCAGGAAAGCAACCTTTGTTCCTTCCCTGAGAAGACTGCCATGAACCATGTGACCAAGCAAGGTATCAGGCCTTTTCTTGCAAGTGGCTTCTTATTAGTTTCTATCAGCCTTGAGAGTCAACCTCGATTCCTAAAGACTTTCTGGTGGCACCCAGAACCCAGGAATGTCTCACTTAGACATGGAATTCCAGTCAAAGTCTTAGTCAATAAGATGATATAGTTTGGAATTTGTCTTATTGGATTTATGCAAAGAAATATATTGCCATAACTCACTTATTAAGAACTGCCAAATTCTGGAGGGATTAGGTAGGAGTGAAAAAAGCTAGAATTGAGCAATTAGCATTCCCTAGATTAGCAAACACATTCTATAAGTTTTAGAAACATGGGCTTTCTTACTGGCAAACATCAAAATTTACTGACTTAGTAAACAACCATAGGTGAATTGAATTAAACTGATTGGCTCAGATCTTAGACTCTGATAAGATCTATTTTAACTCAGATTCAGCAATCCCAGGTGAACTAAGTCAAACTTATTGGCTCAAGCTCAGATGATATTACAAAGACAGTTTCTTTGACAACCCAGAATAACATTCCATGCCAGAGTGAGCACTCTTGAGGAATGGAAATTGCATTGTTGTTCATTTTGGGGAGAGAATAAAATCTCCTCCCAGGGTGTAGGAGAGAGATTGGAAAGTTGAGGAAATGTTTGAGCATCCTCAATTTTCTCTCACTTTCCAGTCATATGCCAAGGCCTAGAATCTGCACAGGACCATCCACTGACTGCCAGTCTGTGTCCAGAGACTCATACCTTGCCTCTCCTTCCCTACGCTGGGGAAGAGGCCTTCCCAAAATAGCAATACAAGTTTTCCCAGGTGTGGGAGGTTACCAATGTCAGTGTTGATCAGGCACCTTTTTATCAGACTTACTTGGGCGATTATGATGACTTCTGATCTTACTGGAGACTTTTATGGAAAAAGTCTTGCTTTTTTAGCTGGCTTTTAATAGCTGAGTCAGTAATTTGTTGCTGTCTTATATTTTTCTAACAGCCTCAGTTCCTTAAGAGGCTTGGTAGCATACAGCTTCCCTTAAAGGAATGAACCTTTTTTTGTTGATCTGACAATAGAATCTAAAATTCCAGGCCCTGTGTTTGCTAGGAAAAATTATTTTAGATGGAGAACCTATTTGGTACACCTTCCCCCTCCTCAGCACATAGCCATGAAGCCTAAGCCTCATACCCAAAGCCTGCAGGGCTGTGGGGGAGGGAGAAAACTTTCAAGGCAGCATTCTGGGGGATCCTAGTTGTTTGCAAATACACCATTTCAGGGAAGGATAGGACAAAAGCAAATTCCCAATTATGAATATCATAGAGAATGGGGGATGGAACAGCTGGGCTGTGAGCCACTTTAAATCCCAGGGTAGAGGTATGGGATTTTATACCCCAGAAGTAAATCTCAAGGCAGTAATGAGAGTACACTGGCATCCATTTGCATATTATCCTGGTGTGTTCCCAAATATAAATAGTAGAAATACAGGCAGAATGCACAGAGGTAGGGAGTTTGCAAACTGGGAGGAGAATTTGGGTGTTAGGTAGAAAATTCACCCCAACATTGGGTTGCTGGCTTCTCCCAGGGCTTAAAGAAGCTGGGAACCACCCATGCCCCCAGGCCCCAGGGTTCAGTAGTGAGCCACTGCTCCACAGCCTCAGGAGCCACCTAGTTGGGTACATCAGTGCAGGGCTAAGACAAAGAAATGGACCAGCAGGAGAGAGACAGAGAGAGACAGAGAGAGACAGAGAGAGACAGAGAGAGAGAGAGAGAGAGAGAGAGAGAGAGAGAGAGAGAGATTGAGGAAACCCCCAATTTAGGGATTATCTCACCAGAATCTAGAGAATCCAGGCCAGGTTTTTGTTCTCTTTGCTGCAGAAGCAGCTGCAAGCATTCTGGTTAACTTTCATTGCTGGAGGGAAGCCTTCTGCACAGTCCACAAGCACATTCTCCTGGTTTAACTGCTCCTGACTGGCTCAACAAGCTGTTGCTAGAGAAGTCAGTGGGCCAGATTTCCCAGACATTAGTGGGAGTGGGGTGGCTCTTGTGATTATAAGGAAGGAATGGTGCTGAGTAACCAGGAAGTGCAGGTTTATTGAGGGAAATACCTGCCAGGCTGCCTCCAAGTAGAGCGGTTTTTAAACTTAAGGCTAGGGTGGGTGGTTGCTCTGCCGAGGAGTCGCGGTCTTCCTTGATTGGTCGGGGCTGTGGTCTTTCCGAGAGTCGTTCTTCTTTTGGAGCGGCTGTTTAGGTTTGGGTGGTGGATCCAGGATATACTGTTCCACCTGGCCAGAGCGATAAGCTTTGGTTTCCTGGAATAAGGGGCTTGGGGAAAGGTTAAGCAATAAGAGGCTGGGGGTAGTAATATGGAAGTTAAAGGTAACATTTCCCGACTCTTAGTTAATATAAATTGGAAGGTTAAAAAAAGTTTGTGTTGAGCTTTAGGAAGGGCCCTCGGGCAAGAGTGTTCTTCTGTAGCTACAGTACTTCCTGCTGTTCTCCCTGTGGGTTGCTCCTCCTGGGGGGTCACCCTGGGGTAGAGGGATGTAAATTTGGAGTAGTAGTTGGTGGTGGGCTACCCTGGCGAGTTCGGTAACTCATGTTTGCAAAAATTTTAGGAAACTGGGAAGAAGCAAGAGGAGGCAGATAATTATCAATGGGCTGATGAGCAGGGCAATTATGTTAAAAAGGGTTAGAGGTGAGGGTTCCTCGTGTCTGTGGTTACAGAGCCTCTCCTGTAATTTTGGAGAGAGTTAATATTTTCCTCTACTATACCTGATTTGTTGATATAGTAGCAACATTTTTCTTGGAGGAAAAGGCACGTACCTCCTTTCTCAGCGGTGAGAAGGTCCAGGGCCCATCGGTTTTGGAGGGCGACCTCGGCTAGGGAGGTGAGTTGTCATTGTAGGGAGGCAGCCAAGTTTTCGAAACCTCTTTCTAGATCCACCTGAATTTGCTGTCATCTTAAGGCTGTAGCCAAGTCCAGCTCCCCCAATTCCTAGGGTGGCTACTGAGGAAAAGAAAGAGAGGCCTACAAGAAAGGGGAGAAAAATGGCTCGTTTCTGGCAGGGGGTTTGGAGGTTTCTGGCTACCTCATCCTCAGTGTAATATAGAAGCTGTGGGGCAAGGATTGCTGGGATACATGGGCCCGGAGGGGTGGTGTCCATGTGGTTGGTTAGAGTGTGCTTACATCAAAAGAAAGTTCCCCGAGGACTTGTAAAGTCAGAGGTAATTTGATGAGTTTGATTGCATGTCGGGTGGGAGATGTCATAGATTATAAGTGTTATTTGGGGTGTACAAGGGCATGTGGTCTAGGGAGAATGAGGAGGCAAGGTGGGTTTTAGAAGTGTTTAAGGGATATGAGAGTGGGACTAGGGCCATTGGTGGTTGGTCTAGGAAGGCACAGAGAAAGCATTGAGAGGGCTTGACTTCTTGGGTTAGGTTCAGAATTAGGACTTCTTTTCTTATTATATTTAGCCATGCAGAGGGGTCTGTTTGTTGGAAAGGTGTTTAGTTAAGGAAATTTCTTGGGTTAAGATTTTGTGGGTGAGATTTTCAATGCTGAGGACCCAGGGGGCTGTGGGGGTAGTGTATTCGCAGTGAGTTATTTTGGTATATGTTTTGGTAAATATAATTGTGTCTCCCCAGTAGAAAGATGACATTGTGCAAGGGGCAGAGGTGGTGAGGTGTGGCAAGAAAGTCCTTGAGATAGTTGTAGGAGCACAGAGCCTCATCCCTGTATAGCTTTGAAGTTGGGATTGGTTTGCGATGAGTTTACGAGCCATCGAACAACCTGTTAAGGGGCAGTCTGTGGAAGCAATTATTTGGGAGGGAGGCCAGGTAGAGGAGACACTGAGAAAGAATCTCCAAACATGTGGTTCAGGTCCAGAGCCTGAGGAAGATAGTGGTGTGAGTAGGTAAGAGAGAGAGAAAGAAAGACATCCTCTAGGCGAGTCGAAAGAGAAGAAGAAAAGAATAAAAGTCAGTTTCAAAGGGCTCGAATTCCTGAAAGGCTCCTTGCCAGGTGAGATCCTAGATCTAGGTGAGGAGTTCTTCTACTTCCGGACTGTGGGGTCCGAATCAGGCAATGTATTCCAAAATCTGAGTGAGGAAATAAAAAAATCTTGCAAGGTAGAGGCTGTGCATTGCTAATTGAGAGTGTTAGTTATAGCATGAGCTGTGAGTGAGTATATTGTCTTGAGCGAGTCTCACAAGATAGTCTGGTTGTGTTCTTCTGCAATCAGTGGACATGAGGAAATTTTGAGGGATAGGGGACCTGTGGGTGTGGAGAAATGATTTTTAGGACTGTGGAGTGTATGGTTTAATATGTGAAAGACGTGTCCAGTGAGAGTCCCCTTCAATTTTGAACGCCATGGGAGTGGAGAGAATGGCTGTGTGTGGGCCAGACCAGATGGGCTGGAGAGGTGTTTTTCCTCGGGTTTGTTTATATACCTGATCTCCTGGCAGTAGGGTGAGATGAACCTTGTTGGTAGGAAAAGGTTGAGGTAGGAGTTTATTTACCTCTGAGTGTAAATTGGACCTCATATAAGCCAACGTTGGGAAGTAATCTCCGATGGCAGGGTTGGGGTTAGTTAGAGGACTGGAGTCTAGGACAAAGGGCCTCCATACATTATTTCAAAGGGGCTTAGGTTGAGGGGTTTCCTTGGCATGGCATGAATTCTCATCAGAGCTAGGGGGAGGAGCTGAGGCCAGGGAAGGTGGAGCTTAAGAATGAGTTTGGTAAGGTGGTGTTTGAATTTGATTAGCCGACTCTACTTTGCCCAAGGACTGGGGACAGTAAGGTATGTGTAGCTGCCATTTAAGTCCTAGATGAGTTGAGAATGACTGTGTGATGTGAGAGATGAAGGCTGGTCCATTGTCTGATTGGAATGATGTGCTTGTTGAGGATCGTGGCAACCTGGCTCGCATCCTCACTTTTAGTGGGAAATTCCTCAATCCGGCCGGAGAAGGTGTCGACTAGAGTGAGAATGATTCTGAATCCCTTTTATTTGGGCATGTGGGTAAAGTCTATCTGCCAATTTTGTGCTGGCAGTTGTCCCTGGGTTTGGTGAGTGGGGAATGACTTGGGATGAATTCCTCCTTAAGGGGTGCAGGTCGGGCAGGAGGAGGAGATTTTCTTGAGTATTGTTGGGAAGTTGTTTCCTGTCAGGAAGGTGGAGATGCAAAGGAGTAGGGGTTACTATCTGGTGTGGAATTATGTATGGATTGTAGGATATCCTCTGCCTGAGACTGTGGGAATAGGAGTTTGTTTTTCTTTATATACCAACCATCCTTCTGAGGCAAGGAAGAGTAGGCGACCTTTTTGGTGGTGGAGTATGATGGAGTATGAGAGTCAGGAAATAAATGTGGGATCCTGGGGACTGAGTGGCTGTTTTCTTTGCCACTTAGTCTGCTATGTTGTTTCCTGTGGATATGGGGGAGGTGTTTTTCTGGTGTCCTCGACAATGGATGATGGCTATTTGGTTCGGCAGTAGAGCTACCTGAAGTAGGTTTGTATGTAAGAATGGTTTTGGAGGGGGTCTCTTTTGGTTGTAAGAAAGCCCCGCTCCAGCCAAATAGCTATAGCTGAATGAAGGATGTGGTAGCAGTATTTTGAGTCACTGTATATGTTGAGTCACTGTATATGTTGGCTGTTTTGCCCGAAGACAGAGTTAGTGCCCTTGTGAGGGCAATTAACTTGGTCTGCTGGGAGGTGGTCCCGGGTGGTAATGATTGAGCCTCGAGAATAGAGTGGTTCCCAGTGATGATGGCATAACTTGCTTGGGTAGATCCTTGTGACATTTTAAGGGAACTTCCATCTAAAAATAGGGTGAAGTCCGGAGCAGGGAGGGGGTAGAGGTGAGGTGGGGAAAGGGATTGGAAAAAGTGTGTGAGCGTTTTTGTTTTTTTAATCCTCACACAAGGACATTTTTTTTGCATTTTTTGTTCAGACAGAGCGGGAGGGAGAGAGAGGAAGAGAGAGAGAGAGAGAAACATCGATGTGAAGGGACACATCGAGTGGTTGCCACCCGCACGACCAACCAGGGCCGGGGACAAACTGCAACCGAGGTACGTGCCCTTAGCGGGAACCGAACCCGGGTCTCTCTGTACCGCAGGCCGACGCTCTAACCGCTGAGCCAAACCGGCCAGGGCTGTGTGAGCGTTTTGATACAGCAATGAGAGGGGGATGAGGAGGAAGTCAGTAGGAGCGTGGCAGGGTTTAGGCTGGAGCATGGCTGAAAGGTAAATTCAGGGTTTTCTTTTTTTTTTTTTTATCCTCACCCGAGGATATTTTTCCATTTTTTGTACAGATAGAGTGGGAGGGAGAGAGAGGAAGGGAGAGAGAGAGAAACATCGATGTGAAGGGACACATCGAGTGGCTGCCACCCGCATGACCAACCAGGGCCGGGGACAAACTGCAACCGAAGTACGTGCCCTTAGCGGGAACCGAACCCGGGTCTCTCCGGACCGCAGGCCGACACTCTAACCGCTGAGCCAAACTGGCCAGGGCAAATTCAGGGTTTTCAATGAAAATGATGTGGATTTGTTGTAAATGGGAGGGTGATAAGTGGGTTAGGGCTTTGTGAGACAGTAGGTTTTGAAGGTTGTGTGGGGCTCTAATGAGTACCCTCTGATCAAAGGTAAGGTTTTGCTCTCAAGGGCCAGGAGGGCCATGACCGCTAAGGCCCTGAGGCAGGGTGCCCACCCCTTGCATGTTGGATCCAGTTGTTTTGAAAAGTAGGCTACTGGCGCAAAGGGTGGTCCCTTTTGTTGTCCAAGGACCCTGAGGGTGAGTCCTTGCTTTTCAGTAACATAAAGTATGAAATCTGAGTTTAAGTCTGGGAGATGTAGTGCTGGTGCCCGAAGGAGGGCCTGTTTAAGTTTAGTAAAATGTGTTTGTATAGGAAGTCTGGGGTCTAGGGGTTCCGAGAGCTCTCCTCTGGTTGCTTCATATAGGGGCTTTGCTAGGAGGCTATAATTAGGAATCCATGACTGGAGGAAGCCCATGATTCCCAGGAAAGAAAGGAGCTCCTCTTTGGTTGAGGGAGTCAGTATAGAGGCAATGACATGTTTTCTATCGGTTGTGATAGCTTTCTTTCCCAGGATCAGTTGTATTCCTAGGTAAGTGACTTGGGGTAGAGAGAGCTGTACTTTGGAAAGAGATACCCGGTAGCCTAACTGACCAAGGAAGTTGAGAAGCTGGATGGTATCTGACTGAGAGGTCTCCAAAGACGGGCTGCAAAGGAGGAGATCATCAACATATTGAACGATGGGAGGTTGAGCTTGTTAAGATCTGCTGCTAGGGCCTGACCAAAAAAGTGGGGGCTGTCCTGGAATCCCTGAGGTAGGACTGTCCATGTTAGTTGCTGGGAGCACAGGATGTCCGGGTCGGTCCAAGTGAAAGCGAAAAGATTCTGGCAATCTAGATGTAGGGGGATGGTAAAAAAAAAAGGCATCTTTGAGATCCAGGACAGTGAAGTGGGAGGTATTAGTGGGAATGGTAGAGAGGATAGTATATGGGTTGGGTACTACCAGGGTGATGGGGAAGACGGCTGAGTTAATAGAGCATAAGTCCTGTATGAATTGGTAGGTGCCGTTTGGTTTGATGACGGGGAAAATTGGAGTGTTGTAGGGGGAGTTAGTGGGGATTAGGAGTCCTGAGGTTAAAAATTTGGAGATGAGGGGTTTTAGGCCCTGGAGATGTTTATGAGAAATGGGGTATTGGGGTACATTAGGAAAGAGAGATGTTTTTGAGATTAATTGAGATGGGGGTATGGTGTGTCGCTATGGAAGGCTGACTACTTGGGGGTTAACAATAGAGGGGGGTATGGGAAAGGAAGCGGAGGGATCGGAGGAATCTGGGGTGTGGCTGTTGTCCAGCAAGCAGAATATTTTAATACTTTGAGATAAGGTTGTAGGTATCTTTGGAGGGAAGAGTTGGAGGGTAGTATGAAATTTTCTTAAGATGTCCCATCCCAGAAGGGGGTCAGACATTGAGGCATGACTAGATATTGATGTGTAAATGAGGTTCTGTCTAAGATAGAAGTTACAGGAGGGGTAATAAGGGGGCAGGAGCGCCCACCTGAGACTCCCACTATGAGAGTTTGAGAAGAGCTGAGAGGGCCATTAAATTCCAGGAGCGTAGAGAAGGTGGCCCCAGTGTCAATGAGGAAGGAGATTTCCCTACCTGCTATGCGAAGGTTTACCCTGGCTCACTGTTGGAGATGTGTACTGGGGCCGGTGTCCCAGGGCCTCCTCAGTCCTCTGCCACCAGTCCCAGAAAGTCTGTTACTGACCTGGATGGGGCGTTGTTGGGAAAGATCGACCCCGAATGCCCTTTGGAGCTCGGGGCAATCAATTCCCCAGCGGCCCTTGCAATGACAGTGCAAGCAAGGCCCCGGCGGGTTTGAGCACTGTCTCATGCAGTGGCCCATTTATTTGCATTTGAAGCAGGGACCAGGAGGACTTGACTGAGGAGGTTGTCTCCTAGAGCCTCAGCCCTTCAGACCAGTGTTCCCTTGAGGGGCTCTTGCCAGCATAAGGTAGTTATTTTCTGTTGCTCTTCCCTCTCCATTTCCTCCCGTTTTTTAAAGACCTTAAAGGCAATATGTAAGAGCTCTCTCTGAGGTGTATTGGGTCCGTCCTCAAGTTTTTTGAGTTTGCATCTAATGTCAGGGGCAGATTGGGAGATGAAATGGGAGTGGTGGAGGGTGGGCCCAGCTCGGGTGGTGAGGTCCATAGGAGTGTATCCAAGAAAGGCCTGGGAGAATCGTTCTAGGAATTCTCCTGGATTTTCTTGGGGCCTCTGAATGATTTCTTTGATTTTGTCATAATTGATGGCCTTATTGGCAAGTTTTTCTAAGGCCTGAAGAAGGTAGTCTATAAGACGGTCGAGTTCCCTACAATTAGCATGGCCAATCTGATAGTTCCAATTTGGGTCATTGGGGGGAACTGCTTCCCCCCCCCTCCCAGAGGGAGGTTATTGTCCTGGGCATGTACCTCATCTGCTACTTGCTGGGCGGTTGCCCACACCCAATTCTTATTGTGTGCAGAGAGGGAGGAGGTAAGGATAATAGAAAGATCGTGCCACGTAAGATCATACAATTGAGTGAGGTATCGGAACTCCTTGATGTAGGTGTCGGGATCAGAGGAGAAGGAGCCAAGGAGTTGTTCAATTTGGGATAAGTCAGAGAGGGAGAAGGGGATGGCTACGCGGACTATCCCCTCAGCTCCCACAACCTCACGGAGTGGATATAGACCGGGATGGGGAGGCTTACGTGGATGGAGAAAGGGGAGGGATTTGGGGGAAGGCTCGTCTTGTGGAAAAGAAGAGGTATTCGGATAAGGCGGAGGTGGAGCAGTTGGTGCAGTGGGAGAAGGGGGTGTATCTGGGGCAGAAGGAGGAGGAGGAGGAGGAGGAGGAGGAGTGGGGGCTGAGTGGTCTTGAGGGTCAAAAGAATCAGTCGAAGGCAGAGGGCTTAGGGATCAGACTAGAAGGACTTGGTATGTGGAGCAGGTGGAGAAAAGGGAAGGGGATGAGCAGAGAGAGAAGAAAGCCTGCACATAAGGAATTTCTGAGGCCTTGCCTGTCTGGTGGCAGAAATGATCTAAGTCTCTTAGAATATTGAAGTCAAAAGTGCCATTTTCTGGCCATTGAGAGTTATTGTCGAGTTTATATTGGGGCCAGGCTGTATTGCAGAGAAATATGATTTTGTAGGGCCTCAAATTGGAGAGGCCGAGGTGGTTTAGATTTTTCAGTAGACAGCCAAGGGGACTTAAGAAAGGTGGTTTCAATTGAGATGACCCCATTTTGTAGGGAGGCAATGACAGGAGAGGGCATCCCCGTCTCCAATCAAGGCCTTGGGAGGACAAGCCTGTAGGAAGGACAGATCAAGAAAGAGTCGTCACCCCGACTTGAATGTCCGAGTAGCGAGAGACCCGACTGGGTCCCTAGATTTCCAGGCAAGAGTGAGACAAATGGGCCACTCAGTAGATAGGGATGAGTCATAATTGAAATGGTGCGCAGGTAAAAAACTAAGGGACAATAGAGGAGAGAAAGAGTATGTCGAGAGAGAGTGCAGGGGCCTAAAATTTGGAAAGTTCACCGGAGAGGGGAGGAATAAATTCCCTACCTCCTGGTTCAGCAGGTAGGAGGGAGTCCAGGACGGGTTGGAGTCGGCCAGTCAACCCAAACCACAGTCCACCCAGAATCTGGGAGTTAGCCCAGGCGAGCTGCCGCAGCCCACTGCTTCCCAGGTAGTAAGGGTGGTCTGTGCTGGGGATTGTCCAGGCTACCAAGCTCCCGTCCCGGGTTTCGGCACCATTATATAAGAACGGGATGGTGCTGAATAAGCAGGAAGTGCAGGTTTATTGAGGGAAATACCTTCCAGGCTGCCTCCAAGTAGAGTGCAGGCAGCCGGTTCGTACAGACTAAGGGTTTTTAAACTTAGGGCTGGGATTGGTGGTTGCCTTGCTGAGGAGTCACAGTCGTCCTTGATTGGTCAGGGCTGGGGTCTTTCCGAGAGTTGTTCTTCTCATCGAGCAGCTGTTTAGGTTTGGGTGGGGGTTTCAGAATACTGTTCCGCCTGGCCGGAGCGATAAGCCTTGGTTTCCTGGAATAAGGGGCTTGGGGCGAGGTTAAACCATAAGAGGCCGGGGGTAGTAATGTGGAAGTTAAAGTTAACAGTGATATCTTCAGAAAAGGAATTTTCTAAGACTCACAAGAGGGAATGAATGGTTTTTACTGGCATGGATTTATATTCCTAAGGTTGTAAAGTCCCAGTCCTAGAAGAAATGCAGCTGGGGCTCCAGCAGAGCTAGAAGCAGTGACCGTGTTCATGTTGCAGCTGGGTTCAGTTCAGCATCAGGCTAGATTTAGTCCATTAGTCCATCATATTGGTTCCACATGGCTGTGGGCTATGTGGTGAGTGCAGGGCATGAAAGCCCTGCAAGCTGGGAGTCCAGCATGGTCAGCAAGAGGGAGAGGAAGCTTTTCTTTGTTTAGAAGTTTAAATATTCAGGTTTTGCATGCTTCCAGTGGCCACGCCTATTTTGGCCAATTACCTGTTCCCAGGACTGACTGACAGGTAAGCACCTTTCCATGTCACTCAGACCTTACTGGGCAAGTGTCTAAACTGCCTTTGTCCAGTCCCTTCCCCCATGAACTGGTGAGGAATAAACCTGGAGAGTGTTCACCTCAGCTTTCTGACAAAGCTGTATAAATGGCATGTCTATATCATCTAGTCTCCCCTTTTGCTCCTCTCCTGTTCAATAATAACCAGATTATTACAATGGTATGAGAACCTCTCATGCCTGGGATAGACCGAGCACATCCTGGTGCTTTGGCCAGCACTGGAGAGCCTGAGAGGCCAGGTATGCTATGTCATTGCCCACAGCAATGAGCAGTTTCTTCTGCATGCATCACCTCCATGGCCTCAGCTCCCTTTAGCTGGGCATCAGAGGCCAGAGCCTGGAACCTACCAACTGGAGGTGGTGAGCGTGGCAGGGCTCTGGGGCACCTGGCCAGAGAAGCAGCTGGGGCCAGAAATACAGGCTTTATGGATAAAGGTTTGGCTGCAGCTACTATAGCCTGACCCCAGGTACCCCTGCAGCCCCCTCTCCAGACTCACCACCTGGGTACCACCTACTGCCTCCCCTGCTTGCCACATACCACAGGGAGATGCTGGTGATGAGCTGGGGCCTTAATAGGCCCCAGGGCCTCCATGCCATCCTCCTCTTAGAGTTGGCAGATTCTGGTAAGGATCCATCTGGTAAGGATCCATCCCTGGTGGAACCCTGAAACTCAGGAAGAGTGACATACTATGCTATGACCTTAGGCAAGGTAACACTCAGTCTTTCCTGGAGACAGCTGGAAGCTGCAGCCTTCATCCTCCCCCTCCAACACTAGGGTCAAGGAGGACCCTGTGATTCATTGTATCTGGTCAGTCTCAGGCTAAAATTCTGTACTGCACCAGGACTCACCCCTGTCCCCCCCTCAGGTTCAGTGGAACATGGGAACAGCAGCAGAGGTGGGCATAGGGCTCATGCCTCCAAGCAGAAGGGCCCACAGGGCCCCAACCAGAGTTGGTGACACGCAGCTATGTTCATGCCCCCTAAGGTTCCAAGGATGCTTATATCAGAAGCAGAAAAACAATAAAGTTATTTTGGGTTATGTCTGCCCCTTTAGCACATTCTGGAAGTAAATAGATGCTGCAGGGCCACATGGAAAACTGAAGACCTCAGGAGGGCAGAAGCTGTGGGGAGGATGAGCTACAGCCAAGGGCTCCGAGAAGAAAGCATGTAGGTGAGAGGTGGGTAGAGACCACCCTCTATCTTCGGGTAGGGACATGGTCCTGGGGTACAGACAGGCACTGCCAACTTCAGACCTGTGTGTTTGACACCAACGGAGCCCTCGTGTGTTCACTCAATACTGATGAAAATGGCTCATATTTCCAGACCACATACTACATGTCGGGCACCATTTTAAGTATTTGCCAATTATTGACCCATTTGTTACTGCAACCTCATGGAATAGAGCCCATTATCCTCATCCTCATCCTCATTTTGCAGATCAGAAAATTGAGGCTCAGGGAGGTCAAGCAATTTGACTAAGGTGACACCATGTTGCACGTAGCAGAACTGGGTTCAAAGTAAGTTGCTGTGCCATCACCCACCACGTCATCCTTCCTGGTTCCAGGTTGAGCCAGATTTGCCAAGTCTGATGGCTGAGATTCTCATCCTGTTAACATGTAATCAGTGTGTGTGTGTGTGTGCACATCAAAGACAGGAGTGTATTTAGTACCCACAAACTTGTATGAGACAGGTAGTATTATCACCCCATTTTATAGGGAGGAAAACTAGGCTTAGAGAGTCTGTGGAATCTGCCTGATCACCCACAATAGTATAGTGGGGCCTGGATGTGACCCAGGTTCCTCCAAGTCTGACCCCTGGCCCCAAACCATCTCTTGTCTTTTAGAGATGATACATTTGTTTTCATTCAGAATATTCTCTGTCATGGTGGACACAGGCTGCTTGAGGACAGCACAGTTTGGTGGATTGAGTTTGGGTGGTAACCTGGACCCTGAAGTTTGGCCCTTCCTCCTCCTGCAGATTAGTCACTGGACTCTGTCCTGGCTGAGGTCTGGTTCACCCACCTTATAAGGAGCTTCTGGGAACCCATCAGAGCTTCCAGAAGCTTCATCCATTAGCCAGTCACTATAGTTCAGGGACCTGGGCAGAGCAAGCATGTGACCCCACTTTATAAATCAGGAAGGAGGCATCAAAAGGGTGAACGGGCCCTGGCCAGTTTGGATCAGCAGTTAGAGCATCAGCCTGCGGACCAATGAGTCATGGATTTGATTCCAGTCAAGGGCATGTACCTCAGTTGCAGTTTGTCCACAGCCCTGGTCGGGGTCGTGCGGGAGGAAACCAGTCTCTCTGTCTCTCTGTCCCTCCCTCCCTCTATCTGATGATAAGTAAAAAGCATCCTCGGGTGAGGAATAAAAAAAAGAGGGTGAGCGGTTTGCTCAAGGTCACCAGCTGAACATGCACTCAGGCCTGTGTCTAGCACATCCAATGCTTGGCTCCCTGGAGCTGTTTACTATCCTGGAGTAAGAGGAGATCATGTGGGATTCAGCATAGGCTGGGATTGGCACCCCATAATGAAATGTGACAGAGACAGAAATGGTGTTCCACCAAAGGTTTATTTTAAAAAGCATGGTCCAGGAGGGGTGTCCATGGATGGACTGGAGCTTTGTATGGACCCAGAGTGACACAGGCAGGTGTAGCCCCAGAGTAGGTGACAAGAGATTGCAGGTGGGTAATATATCTTGATGATTCTCTATAAGAAGTATTGGCCAGGGCTGGCTCTGGTTCCCAAAGAAAACAACGGGCTTGAAATGAGGTCAGCCCCCTCCTTCCAGCTGCCTAAGGAGCAGGAGGTGGCAGGGGTGAAGGAACCAATACTGACTTAGGCACAGGGGATTGAGAGATGGATTGAAGAATAGAAGAACTAGGGGCTGCAGGGCAACAGTCACAGTGGAGAAAGCTCCAGCACATCTTGTATTGATTGATCCTGGAGATATGCAGGTTCACAGTCCTGCAGGAGGGAATTGGAGAGGACAGCAGGTGATAGGGAGTGGAGTGGAGCCAAAGCTCCTGTGCTGGGTCAGTCATAGACACCTAGAATCCTCAAATGTGAGCCTGTGGGATTGTCCATAGAGCTTTCATCATGATGAGCCTAGAGACGGTCACATGATCCAAGTCCTTACCTGGAGTAGCTGTTGTTGGGAGGGAAGCATTCTTCTCGCTACTTCTGGGGTGACCTCTAAATGTGGATCGTGGAAGGCTGGAGGTTCCAGAGCTCAACTCTTCCCCCAGAATGTGAGAGCCTTTTGAAAAATAGAAAGAGAAGTAGATAAGAAATTCTCCAATACCCTTTGAGCCCCTGGATATAGCCAAGCCTGAAGCCACTGGCTGGTCATTTGAGCTGATGAGTTTCCCATTTGCTTGACTTTTCCATCTCTGGCAGTTCAAAGTGTTTTGACGAAAAGAATTGCTCATTCAGTCAGTCTCCCATTCCTCAGCAACTCACTTTTTTGGGGGTGGGGGCAGTTGTCAGCATGCTGGGGTGCAATCCTTTCGGGGTTGAGAAGCTCAGGAGCCTGCAGCAGGGAAGGGAGGCCCCCTAGATGTTGGGCTGGGGTCTCACCTACCTTGGAAGGTTCTCCGGGTGCCTCGGCCACGCTTTGGAAGGGCCTTGGTCAAAGTATCCAGAAGCTTCATCCCATTTTGTACCCACTTGGCCTGTGGGTTCCCGCACACCATCGTCTGTCTGTGACGGAAGTAGAATCTGTACAAGTGGGAGTGGAGTGCAAGGTTAATGCGTAAGCGGGAAGCAAAGTTATGTGTGAGCCCCCGCCCACCCCAGCACCCACTGTCCCACTCACATCACGGCGGGCAGGTTACAGCTCCCACTCACATCCTGGTACATGTAACTCAGGGCATGCCGAAGCACAGTCAGTCTAATGCGGGGGTGGTAAGCCAGGCAGCAGTCCTCAAAGATGCCTGCAATCACATGGCCACCCCAGGCTCACTTTTCTGTGTGTGCCTGTGCGGCTGCATGTGCACTGGGTGTGCAGGCATGGCTACTGATGTGGACACCTGCAAACATACCACGACTCTCTCAGGCCCTGTGTGGGCTGAGGGACAGCCCAGGTGATAAAAAAGCCATTTGATTCACCTTTGGCCCTTGATATGGGGACAGCTCACAGGAGTTGGAGAGGGCCTGAAGGCCCTGGCTGGGAAGGGCCCAGGACCTTAAAATGAATGGGGGAACCAAGGACATTTCCACTCCTGCTCTGGGGCAGAGGGTAAAGAGGGCAGGTGTAGTACCCTGAGGAGGGGCTAGAGGCCACCACTCCCATCTGGGTCCCTCCTCCTAAAATGAGTGGGCTGGCCCACTGCTCCTGATGTCCTGTTCCCATCAGAGTGACCACTCCGAGTCACCCAACCAGAGACCAGGAGATCTCTGGTCATTTACTCATTGGCTGAACAAAAGCATTTAGAGTTCCTACTCAGAGCCAGATGTCTGGACAAACAGAGGTGAATTGGATGCAGTGTTGTCATTGGGGAAGTCTTGTCCTTGTGGGGAGACCAGGAAGTTGATCTGTGCTGGGAGAAGAAAGCTCAGGGACCTGGAGGGGAGGTGGTCAGAGGAGGATGTGCTGGTGCCAGAAGGTCTGGAAGCAAAAGACGAACTGATGCAAGAGACAGTACAGAAGCCTTCAGGGGTTCTGTCCCTCTGCTGGCTCCTGGAGGGACCATGACCGAGTCCTGGCAGAGTATAGTAGGAAGGAGGGGAGGGATAAGGGGGAGGGCTCCAATGGCCCCAGAGGGCAAAGGGCAGTGGAGTCAGATGGACCCTGGGCCACAGTGTTAGGCAGGCAGTTCCTGGGGGTGGGGGCCACTCTGCCCCCAGGATCAAAGGGCCTGGGCTTGGCCTGGCTACTGGAATGGGTCTCTGATACCAGGACAATGGAAATGAAACCCAGCCCCCTCTGGGCAAAGGCTAAGATCTGCTGGGAGACAGGAGAGGGCCTCATACCTAGTGAGGAATGGGTGGGGCAGGCAGGTGGGGCCATGGGACCTCGACCCTGCCCTGCCAACTGCTGGGGTTCAGTTGGGATGGAGGACACAGTGGTAGGGCTCCTCTACTGGGAGTACTGCATGCCCAGAACTGGCTTTGAATCACCAAAATCCTCAAGTGCCTGATCTAGGGAGAGGAGGAAAGGGATTTCCTGTTAATAACAGTAATAGTAATTATTGTTGCACTGGGCCAAGAGTTTTGCAGGTATCAGCCTATTGGATCTTCATGGCCCCTCTCTCTGCAGTGGGAATTCAGAGTTCCACTTTGCAGATGAGGAGACTGAGGCCAATAAAGGCTGAGTAGTGACTCTCATCCTGACCACACAGTTAGCCTGGATTGAAGGAAGTTGGGATGGGGACCTATTCCTGCAGTCTCTGGGGCTCTCAGAATGAGGCCACTGCAGTGTGTTCCTCGTAGTAAGGGGCTAGGCCACAGCCAGGAGCCACCCTCTGCTCTCCACATTCTCTAGGCCAACTGGAGTCCCTGCAGAGAAGACTTGGGTCATGGACTGTGATGGAGGCACCATAGGAACCTGGCAGCCCCACAGACCTGCACAGATACCAGGAGTTTCTGCATGCCTGGGGGCAGGGTAGCTGTCAGTCAGAGAATTTGATAGTGGAGATCAGCTCAGACTTCTGGAGGAGGGGAAAAAAGGATGAATGGGGAGGGAGGAAATCTGGGGGGAAGGGGCGTAGGTATGGCCCAAGACAGTACCTTGAGCTTGGACAGTGGGGGGCCAGGTACCTACGAAGCAGGTCACTAGGCAGGCCAGGAGCCACAAGTTCATGGTGCAGGCTGGTCTTCCTCCTCCTGATCCTTGAGGGATAATGGGGGAGGGGTAAGGAGGACCCCAAATGGACAGTAACAGGCATGGGACCCCCCTCCCGCCCCCCCACACGCACATCTCAAGCCAGGACAGCACAAGACAGGGACAAGCCATTCTTGAAAGATCAGTTGCTGGTCTCAGTTGCAATGGGGTGGGTTGGAGGGGCCACTTACCAAAGCCTATGGGGTCCCTGGTGCTTCTGGAGCTTATGCCAAGCTCTCCTGCTAACTAGCCAGCAGGCTTCCCCACTTTATAGATGGAGCCCCACCCTGCCACCACCAGCCCTCCTCCACCCTCTTCCTCCTCCCCACCTGCTCTTCCACTCCACCTTCAGGCTTCTCCCTCAGGCCCCGCCCTCCTCTTTTCTCCCCATTTCTCTTTCTAGCTCCTATATCCAAGGTCAGAATACATGTGGAGGGAGTTGGGGACAAGAGGACCCAAATCAGGAAACAATGACTTTCTCAATTAACTACTCAGATGTGGAACAGACAGGGGGTTGGCTTCCTTGGCAGTAAGAGGCTGAAGTATGGATGCAGATGGACAGCCCAGCCTTGAACTTGACCAGGTCACTTGAAGGCTGGCTACCCTGTGACCCTCCATGCCTTCCTCCCCTATCCCAGGCCTCTCAGCCAGGACCCTGTTTTCTCCCAGAACGGCCCTTTCTCCTTCTGTTTCTTCTCCTGCCAAACACCTGGTGGCTTCTTGTGGACAGGTCTCAGGTTACGTAGAGCCCAGGGAAGAGACTTTACCTCTGCTCCCTACTTCAAAGCCACCTGTTCTTTTTTTTTTTTTTTTTTTTATCCTCACCCGAGGATATTTTTCCATTTTTTGTACAGATAGAGTGGGAGGGAGAGAGAGGAAGGGAGAGAGAGAGAGAGAGAGAGAAACATCGATGTGAAAGGGACACATCAAGTGGCTGCCACCCGCACGACCAACCAGGGCCGGGGACAAACTGCAACCGAAGTACGTGCCCTTAGCGGGAACCGAACCCGGGTCTCTCCGGACCGCAGGCCGACGCTTTAACCGCTGAGCCAAACTGGCCAGGGCCAAAGCCACCTGTTCTCATGGGGCCCTGACTTCATCGGCTTTTCTCTCCATCCACACAGTGGGGTGACTTATGTTACAGAAATGCCCTGCTGTTGAGAACAGGCAAATCTATAGAAACAGAAAATAAACTAGTGGTTGCCATGGGCTGAGAGGAGGGGAGAATAAGAGTGACTGCAAAAGGGTTTTTAGTGTTTTTGTTTGTTTGGTTTTGTTCTGAAATTAGATTGTGGTGAGGGTCCAGCGACTCTGAGACTACGTAAACACTGCAGAATGGTCCATTTGTAATTGGTGCAATGTACATCTGTGAATTTCCCCGAATATTATCTTGAGAATAATCTCAATAAAACTAACTACAACAAAGAAATGCTCTGGTTTTAGAAGAAAAGTCGGGAGCCCCACGTAGCCACGCCAGCAGGAATAAAATAATCTAGTAGGCGTTTCTTCTTTCCCTGGGTCCTTTGGCCCAGCTGAAACAGGTGTGGCGGAGGGGGGGTGGCGGGAGGAGTGTAAGTAGGAGAAAGGAAGCATTACAGAGAACTCACAGCTGACTGCTTTTAACTTTAACTTTTCCTTTTCCACATTCTTAGCTGTAAACCACTCCAGGTATTTATAATAGCCTGTACTTCTTTTTCATCATTTCTGTTCCAATCGGAGCTGGTGGTGGGAGAAATCCTCGCCCACCGCCTTAGGCTGAATCAATGCTTGCTGGGTGGGGCTCGGCATGTGGGATGGCCGGGGTTTGAGGAAAGGCGCTGGACTTGTGGGTGGAGCGATTGGGGAGGGGCTTACACCAGGGAGGAGCTTGCAGGCCCCGCCCCTCCCCAGCTTTCGCCAGGGTGGTTCTGGGTGGGTGAGGCTGGGCTGGAACGCGGCTCTGCGTGGCTGCGAGCGTGGGGACTCGGCGTGGCAGGCCCGGGACAGCCTTTGGCCCACTGCCCCTGCCTTCCCCGCTAGTGGGGAGTGGCCAAAACGCACAGTTACCTAGACTGAGACGAGGTCCCTGGCGAGTCCCTCTTCCCGACCGGTCTCACAGTTTGTTCCAGCGCAGCCTTAACAAGAGGGCAGAGAAGCTGAGGAACCAGAACGCAGATCAGACAGGGATTTGCGCGCTCTTGGACTTAGCTGAGAACCAGGTGTCTGGGCGAGAGATAATATGCTCAGGAAGGCGAGGCCCTGGTCGAAAACCCCAAGTTCTAACGACCACAGCTGCTGAGTGTCAGAAGGGCCATATTAATGGTCAGGTCAAGGCTGAACCAAGGGGAGGCCTCTTCCGTTTCTACAGCTGCTGGAGGAATTAAGGATAAACTGCTTCCAGCAGGGAACCCTCTTTTCCTCATGTGTGAAATGAACGCAGCTATGGGGACAAAAGCCTCCTGCTTCCTAGTCACCAATTCTGACTATGGGAGCCATTGGAGGTGGTCTCTGGCCTGGAGGCGAGTCAAACTCAGGCACTGACTACACCGCAGGGCCTGCAGGGCAGTTTGTAGTACAAGGGTGGTGGGAAGGGACACAGTTTTGCTTTGGGAAGCACCCCTGTGGAAAACACCGCTAGTGGGTGTACACAGGTGGCCCTATTGTAGACAGGACAGGCGGTGAGCTCTGTGAAGGAAAGTACCAACTACCCCCTTTGGAGTGAGCTCCTCTGCAGTCAATTTCTTATTTCTCCGCTTGAGGATCTTCCCAGGTGCTCAACATTGGCCCACTTTATAGAAGAGGAGATGGAGGGTCAAGGAGGCCAAGTCATTTGCCTCTTTTTGGCCAGGAAAATCAACTTTTCTTAAATACTATGAAGGAAAAGGTGATAATCCTCTCCCTAATGGGGCCATTGAACAGAGGCTTAGGGCTCATCAGGAAAGATACTGAGGAAGTACAATCAGCTGAAGTGGGGGTCCTTCTGCAGTTGCTTTTGTATATCAGATCCCCGGCATCCCCAGGTACTGCCTACAACTCTCCTGAACCTCTCTCTAATGCCTCAAGGTCCCACCAGCTCAGGTGGCCTCTGAGAGAAGCAGCGAGGGGCCCTTCTCTCCCCTCCTCCCCATTATCATGCATCTCTTGGGGAGACAGGTGTCCCGTTTGCTGGGCCTGGACTCCTGTTATGCCCAGCTGCCTCTTCCTCTGGTCCAGATGCACAGTGGTTGCCAAGCAACTGGAGGAAGGGTGGAGGGTGGGGAGAGATGCCTTGCCAGACTCTGGACTAACTTTTAGGGACTTGGTTTATAAATTGCCTCTGTGTGACCCCTTTCACTGTGTTCCCGATGTGGATGGCTCTGGTCCTTTCTGCAAGGCCAGCTGGTCCCCAAGTTGACCAGCCACTTCTGTGTTCCAGGGGGCAGCCACATTAATGGTCAAGGTGAGGGGACTCCAGCTACTGGCACTGGTCATGATCTTGGCCTCAGTTCTTGTGCTTCTGCTTTTACTGCATTTGTGGGTGGCCAGGCCAACCTGAGGCTTGGGCAGGGTTGGCTTGAGAAGGGAGGGTGGTGGGCCCCGAGGAGAGGGTCCCATCTGGTCCTGAAAACCTCTTAGAAGTTGTTAAGCTCCATTCACCCCTTCCACACAGGTATTCTGGGTGCCTCTTACAAAACAGCCCTGGGGTGATGGCAGTAAGGAAGCAGATATGTCCTAGATATGAAAGATGACAAGGATGTCACTAATCTTCACTGAATACCTGTGTTGGGGCCACTTGTTATTACATTTATTCAGCACTTAGCGAGCACTTTCTATATGCCAGGTGCTGGGCTGGGTGCTGTGTCAAGCAGTGAAAAAGACAGACGGTCCCAGTGCAGAGCAGACAAGACAAACAGCAAAAAATGAAGCAAGATGCTATGAAGTTAGGATCACTGCCTCTAACCCTGTTGATAGGGAGATGCTGGGGATGAGCTGCATTTCTTTAAAGAGAGTGACTTGGCCCGGCTGGTGTGGTTCAGTGGCTGAGCATTGCATCCAGAGGTCGCAGGTTTGATTCCCAGGCAGCGCACATGTCCAAGCTGTGGGCCAAGTCCCTAGTGGGGGGCATGCAGGAGGCAACTAATTGATGTCCTCTCTCATTGATATTTCTCTCTCTCTCTCAAATCAATAAAGAAAAAAAAAAAATAAAGAGAATGATTTGAAGTATCAATAACCTAGAAGATTGCTATTTATCCCCACGTTACAGGGAAAAAACATTCAACTGAGGCTGAGAGGTTAAGTTGCATGGAAAGGTTGCCAGATTCTTGGTCACCGCACATACCCGGGTTGCAGGCTTGACCCCTATGGGGGTTGTGCAGGAGGCAGCCAATTGATGTTTTGCTCTCACACTGATGTTTCTCTCTCTTTCCCTCTTCCTTCCTCTCTCTCTAAAAATCTATTTAAAAATCTTTTAAAAATATTTAATAATGTATTTTATTTAACCCTATCAAAATACAGGGGTGGGCAAAAGTTGGTTTACAGTTGTGAGTGCATGAAACACTTTTTTCTTGTATTATTTATTTATTTAATTATGTATTATTATTAACCTCCTTTTTTCAATTTATTATCATTTCAACATGTAACCAAATAAAAATGATTAATATATTCCTTTTTTGCATATTAAGTCTTTAAAATATGGCTTCTTGTATACCTGCAGCTCATTTCAAGTGCCAAATAGACACATGTGGCTGGTGTCCACCTTACTGGACAGTGCACTTCTAACCACAGACAATGGTCAGCTCATCATTTTTTGCTGTTTCTTTTCTATATTTTATTTTGTATTAAGACTGTTTTTTAAAATAAGGTTTTCTTGATTTTAGAGAGAGGGGAAGGGAGAAGGAGAAAGACAGAGAGAGAAACATCGATTGGCTGCCTCCCACCTGCAACCTGGGCATGTGCCCTGACCAGGAATCACCGACAATCTTTCAGTGTGCAGGACAATGCTCAACCAACTGAGACACACCAGCCAC